TGGCAGTGCCCTGGCGCTGGGAGGGCAGGGAAGACACTGGGGTTGTTTAACCATTAAACCTGGCGCGTCTTGTAAGAGGCGTGGACGCTGGCTCCGCTGCCACTTCACCCTGTACCTTGCTCCCTCTTGCATTCCCTGCAGCCATGAAGCAAACAAAAGGTACGTACTGGGGCAGTGGGATTTCATCCTGCAGAGACACCTCCTCACACGCAGGTCTCTTCTTGTTTCTGCATCAAGCAAGGCAATGTCAGAGCCTGGGCAGGCCATGGCAAGTTGCTAGAGGCATCCAGGAAAATGCCGATGGCCATTGTGGGGGTGCTTGGCAGGAATTCCCTCTCCCTGTGTTTAGGATCCTTGTGCTAGAAGAGGTGGGGAGAGGTTCTGTGGGGCGATGCACAGGGGAATGTGTTTGTCTCCATCTCCTCATTCCAGCCAGCTCTCTGAGGCACTGCTCACCCTTCTCATCCCTCACTCAAAAGCCCTGTAAGCCCTCAGGTCTGTTCCCAGCCCACTGCCTCCTGCACTGACCTCTCTTCTCCCTCTGCAGGGCTCGAGGGTGACAAGAAGTCCATCATGTAAGTGCTAAGCTCTCCCTGGCCACGTTCTTCCTGGAGCTCACGGCCCGACAACGGGGCTGTGCTGGGGCACATCCTCAACTGAGAGTCTTCCCTGAGTTGTTAGCTCAGGAGAGATGTGGAGGACAGTCCAAGAGAGAGATCCCCTCCTGGCTTTTCCCAGGAGGAGGAGCTGTGTCCCCACTTGGCCCCGTCTGGGAGGAATGGGGCTCCCCACAGCAGGGCTGTGCTGCTGAACTAATGTGGCCTCTCCTGCCCTTTATCATTTCAGAACATTTGAATTTAACCCCAAAGATGGGATAGACAACCCTGCCTTGTCGGTGACTGAGGACACGGGTAAATACCTTAATGTCCCCATGGTGTGCCTATGTCAGCGTGGGCTTCTGGCAGCGGGGCATTGCTGGGGTCCTGAGCTCTCACGTGCCAGGGAGCTGTGGCAGCAGGAATGGGGGACCCCAGCCCAGAACAGGGTAGAAAGCCTGTGTTAGGATCTCTACAGGGCTCCACTCACAGGCTGTGCCCCCATGCAGATGGTGAGGCTGTGGGTGAGCCCCGCTTCTACCTCCTGAGCAAGGGCAGCATGGAGACCTTTGGCTTCTCCCTCAACGAGGAGCTGGGCTGCCAGGGCCATGTCATCCGCCAGGTCGAGCTGGGGGGGCTGGCCCAGCGCAGGGGACTGCAGGACGGGGACCGGCTCCTCCAGGTCAATGGCCACTTCGTGGACCACATAGACCACCACAGGGTAAGCCGGGAGCATCCCAGGGCTGGGGGAGCTCACTGATCCCCCCCTAATCAGGGATCCTGATGCCATAAGCTGCAGTTGAAGGGGTGCCCTGCCCAGGAATCACAGCCTGGGTTCTTCCAGGTGGTGCAGAAGATCAAGGCCAGTGGGAACCAGGTCCTACTGGCGGTGCTGGATGGTGACTCCTATGAAGCAGCCAAGGCCCTAGGCAGGGACCTGTCTCAGATGCTGCCGGCTGACATCCGCCCGCGCCTCTGCCACATCACACGGGACAAAAGCGGTTTTGGCTTCAGCGTGTCGGGTCCGGAAGGTAAAGCAGTGGGATGCCATGAGCCTCCCTGACACAGCATCCTGCTTGCCCCAGGCTGCCTCTTCTCTTCCCTGCAGGCGTGAAGGGCACCTTCCAGCTGTCAGTGCAGCAGGATGGGCCAGCGGAGAGAGCAGGGGTGCCACCGGGCTCCTGGCTCCTGGAGCTGAACGGGGCCAGTGTGAGCAACTATTCACACACACAGCTCACCAAGAAGGTGGGGGCTCGCAGTGCAGGTGGTGGGGGACCAGGGCCACCAGTGTCACTGAGTGCCCTGCATTTCCCACCCAGCTGAAGCAGAGTGGCAGCAAGGTGACGCTGCTGGTGGCATCCAGTGCCGTGGAGGAGTTTTACCGCCTGCGTGGTCTGCGGGCCACAGCTGCCTTGGCAGACACCTCCTGGCTCCCCTTCAAGGTGCGGGAGCTGCACATGGTGAAGGGTCCGGCTGGCTACGGGTTTCTGCTCAAGGAGGATGACTGCAGCTCAGGGGCCACAGGTAAGGGCATCAGTCTGAACCTGAACAAGGCATGTGTGAGGGTCAGGAATAGCTGCAAGCCCTGTGCCCGAAGCAGGACCTTGTCCTCTCCTGCATGTGGGATCAGCAGTACCAGCTCCCCTCTGGCTGAATGCCTCTGTGAGCATTTCCCCACCATTCCTCTGTCCTGCTGTGGCAGGCCAGTTCATGTGGGATGTGGATGCGGGGCTGCCGGCTGACCAGGCAGGGATGAAGGAAGGGGACCGTCTCCTCGCTGTGAATGGTGAGAGCATCGAGGGGCTTGACCACCAGCAGACAGTGCTCAGGATCCGTGCCCGTGATGACCAGGTGACACTGCTGGTCATCGACCCTGCTGGCGATGCCTTCTACCACTCAGTAGGTTTTGGGGAGCACTGGGGTGCTGTGAGGCCGGATGATGGGGTGGATGCTTTGCCTCAAGGCCTGCACAGTGAGGTCCTCTCCAGGGGACCTGGCTTGCCATGGAACACCGAGAGCTTAATGTTATCCCTCCTCTACTCTTCCAGATTGGGCTGTCCCCTCTGCTTTCCTTTGAGGACAGTGGCCCTGCCTCAGGCTCCAATACATCCTCCCTGCCCTCTCCCAGTGCCTCCCCTGGACTCTGTCACGTTGAGGTGGGAACAAAGGGACCTGGCTCCTGGCTGGTGGCTGCTGCCAACAGTATAGGGTTCACACAGGTAACCCCTCTTGCCAGGCCCTTGTGGCAGTGCTGCTCAGAATCCTGGTACTCTCCTGTCCTGCCTCTCCTAATATTTCCCTGGCACCTATGACACTGGCAGGAGCAGAAAGATCCCTCCAACCTGCCCACTGGGTTAGGGTGGAAAGTGGTGTGGTGGATGGATGTGCTGCTCACAATGTGCCCACTGTGTCCCCACAGAGCCCATCCCAGGAGGAGCAGAGGAGGCTGCAGCAGGCATTCTAGTGACCCAGGAGCACCCTGCCTCTGGCCAGGCTCCCCTGCACAGCACCTCATCCAGCCCATCGGTGCCTCCCTCCTGGCTCCCCAAAGAGCACAATGCTGCTCGTCATGGCCATTGCACATAGAGCTGCTGGGTCTCCATGCCTGCAGCGGGGCTTGCAGCATCACCCCTCCAGAAACACGTCTCCACTGACTGAGGCTGGCTCTAAGCTTTTATTAACTGTGTCTCTTTGTAACCTGAAGACAGATTTTGCCTGCCCAGCTGCTTCCAAGGATATCTAGGGACATTGCACTGAAGGCTTTGCCCAGCTCCCGGCTCTGGGAGCTCCAAGGAGAGCCAGGAACTGCCCTCCATGCCATGACTCAGTGGACTAGGGATCCTGAGGCTTGACTCAGCCCAGGGCTGGCCTTCGGTCCACTGGTTGAAGGGGAAAGGGAGCAGCAAAGGCCAGTGGAGTGCTGGAGGAATCCCCCACTTCTCAGCCTGTTGGCTCAGGTTTGTCTCTCCATGGGTGTCTCTCTTGTGCTCCTTCTCTCATCCTTCCTGGGAACCTGTGGGCAATAAGTGTCCACTGCCCATCACGGCACTGTTCCTGCATCACTTGTTTGGGGTGTGATTAAAGGGCAAATCCACACTGCTGTTCATGTGAATAATGTTATGGAGAGAGCTGTGACTCAGCAGTGCATCCCAGGGCCAGACAGGAGTTGTCTGCTCTTACCTAGCCCACGGCTGCTGGAGCACTGAACAGTGGATTTGGAAAGCTCTCCAAGTGTGCTGACAGGGAGGTAGGGACTGAGAGCCTGTCCCATCCCAGGAGCTCCAGGATGCTATAAACTCTAAGGGCTTGAGGCTGAACTCCTGTAGGTGCTCCTTGTGCTCCATGGCAATGGTCATTCCTACTTCTTTCCAATGCTGGCTGGCCTTTGCTATCTTGGCTAGCACAAGATCCAGGTTTACCTGGGTGGCTGTGGAGTGTGGGGACAGAGGCAGGGGATACTGAGGAGGCGACCAATGCCCAGGAGGATGGGAGCAGTGTACAGTATAGCCCCTGCCCAGTGCCTCTCATTCCCTAGAGTGGCAGAAGGCTCTGGAGCAGGGGTGCGATCACAGCATCCCCTTTGCAGTCAGCATCTCCCAAGGTCAGGGATGCACTGGGAACAGGGCTGGGCTTTGCCTTTAGCTGCTGCTGTGCTGACAGCACAAGGCAAATTCCTCCCATCTCCCCTGGCTCTCCACCATGGGCACTGGCACTGGGCAGGCATGCCAGGGGCCATACCAAGCTCATCCTCTAGGCTCTTCACCTTGGTCTCCAAGTGCTGGCTGTGGGCTGCCGTCTGCTCCTGCAGCTCCTGGTGTTGCTGGGTTATTTCTGGGAGCCAGGGAAGGGAGAAGGGGACAGACGCGGTGACTACAGGAGGGACAAGCGAGCAGTTGCTGTGCTCTGACCTGGCCTTGAGCACTGCCAGGGATGGGGCAGCCACAGCTTCTCTGGGCACCCTGTGCCAGCGCCTCAGCACCCTCACAGGGAAGAGCTTCTGCCTAAGAGCTCAGCTCAGTCTCCCCTCGGGCAGGTTCAAGCCATTCCCCTTGCCCTGTCCCTACAGGCCCTTGTCCAAAGCCCTTCCCCAGCTGTCTTGTAGCTCCTTTAGGCACTGGAGCTGCTCTAACCTGACCCCATTGCTCCAAAACATGTTTGTTTAAAAAAAACCCCTTTTTTTTTAAAGAAAAATATTCTTTAGACCATTAATAAATAATTTAATTTTTAATGAATAATTTCATCTTTATCTCCTTTTAATTGTTTTTATTTAATTTCTATTTCTAGAGTGCATAATGTATGTGTATGGGCGTGCACGTGCATAAATAAATAGATAAACGGGGGGGAGGGGTAATGGGGGGGATAACGTCATGACCACCTTCCCGGTGACGTCATCCCTCCTCCCCCCCGCGTGCGCAGTGCAGCGCACCCCCCCCCAACACTACCCCCCCCCACGGGTGCGGCGCGGAGGATGCGGGGCCGAAGGTGGGTGCGGGGCTGGATGAGGGGGGTTTGGGGGAGGGATGGTGTGGTGTGTAAACGGTGGGGGGGGGGGATTTTAGGGGTGCATCTTGGTGCAAGATGCGGAGTAGGTTTTGGGGGGGTCATGGGGGTGCAGAACGGAGGGGCTTGTGTTTTGGGGTGTGCTTAGTGGATGCTTGTGTTTGGAGGATGCTTGTGTTTGCAGGATGCTTGTGTTGGGATGCTTGTGTTCGGAGGGGTGCTTGTGTTGGGGGGATGCTTGTGTTGGCATGCGTGTGTTTGGAGGATGCTTGTGTTGGGGGGGATGCTTGTGTTTGGAGAGGTGCGTGTGGTGAGGGGATGCTTGTGTTTGCTGGATGCTTGGGGGGGCAGTGTTTGTGTTCAAAGGGTGATTGTGTTTGGGGGGATGCTGCACATCAGCATCCGTGCAAGGATGGTGCATTGTGGGATGCGCACGCGCTGCAGCAGGGGAGGGGGCAGGGGGCAGAGGATGGTGCTTTGGGGCATTTTGGGGAGTTTGGATGGGCATTATATGGTGAGTGCATGAGGGGGCATGGAGGTGCAGCGGTGCAGGCACGTTGAAGTGCATGGTGCAGGTGTGGTGTACATGTGTGGGATGCACACATGTGCTGGGTGGGTGCATCCTCAGGGACATGCATGTGCTGTATGCTCCCTCAGATGCATGCACTGCTCGAGCACGCACATCTTCATCTGCACACAGGCGTGCATGCGTGTGAACATGCACAACTGCGTGTGCACTGCTCACACACGTGAACTGTTATGTGCACAGTGCGCGTGTTCACCTGCAAGTGCACACATGTGTGCACATTCACATACATGGGTGTTCATGCACCCTGGACACGTGTGGGGTGTGTGCACAGGGGTTGTGCTGCAGAGCTGTGGAGGTTCATGCACACACACACATGGGGGGGGGGGTGCAAGTGTGCACAGTGGGCGTGAAGACATGCTGCACATGGACTCAAAGTCCCAATCTGGCCAGGTTTTCCCCCAAAAGCTGCTGTGTTTCTGCTCTCCTCCCCGAGGTAAGCATGACAGGGCTGGGTTGGGGTAGTGGCACCTTTACTGGCCTATTCCTGGCTTGCTACAAGGTTGTGTTTGCTTCCTATCAGGCTACTGCTAAGATACTACCCCAATACTCTCAGTAATCTTGTGAAGGAGGAGTAAAATACTCTCAAGACAAAGCTGGGATGCTAAGATGCTCTCAGGAGTATACTCAAATGCTGACAGGATACTCTGCAGATAGTTACTAAGGCACTTTCAGAGTGGCCCTAAGATACACTGTGGGTACTATGTGGGTGATACTGGAATAGTTCAAAAATGCTGCTAAGGTACTGTCAGATCACTGCCAGGAGGATAACATATTTCCATCATCTTTCCAGGGTTGATGCTGAGATATTGTTATGAAGGCATCACTGGAGTAGTTGTAACACACCATCAGGATACTCTCAGGGTACTACAAACAGATACAGTCAAGTTGCTTTCAGCATAGTAACAGGGCACTAGGATAATATCTTAGTGATAATTACATTGCACTACCAAGACACTATAAAGATGATAGCTATATACCATTTCATCACTTTTAGGGTCCTATCAGGACACTCCTCATATACTACTGTGATACTATCAGGGCACTGTTAGGATGTGATTAGGGTGCTATTGGGGTGGTCATGTCATAGTATCAGGATATTCTTACTTGTGTTAGTACAACATCAGGGCAATGCTGAGCTATGCAATGGCTCCTACTAGGATGCTCTCAGGACTCTGCTAAGATGTTATCAGGATATGCTAGTAGAATATCTGAGATACTACAGAGGCACCACTAAAGATAGTGGTAAGATACTTCTAGGATGCTATCAAGGTAACACTGACATTTTTGGGATATTGTCAGCATATTACTCATACTAGTATGATACTTTCAGGCCACTACCAATACAGTAGTCATATAGGGTACCACTGAGTTACTACCAGTTCAGTAAAAAAGGTAGTGTTATACCTTTTACATATTACAAGTGTAGCACTAAGCTACTTGGGCCACTCTCAGTGCTTTGTTGCTATTAGTAAAGACTACGAGTATAGTGTCAGGATGTCAATGTATTTCTATGAAGACAGTACTAAGATGCTGTTGGGATACTAATAGGATACTGCAGAGATATTGTTGGTTGTGTAATAGCCCTGGCAGTAGGGTTTCAGCCAGCCCAGTGGCAGCAAGGGCAATGGGGAGCACTGGTGTTGTAACCTGTGAGTAGCCCAGTGCCTCATGGGCACCCTCTCTCTGCAGCTAAGGCGGCACATCTGCGTGGAGGAGGATGGAGGCACCTCTTGTAAGCCTGGAGGAGGAGTTTGAGGAGGGGCCCGGGGTTGATGGGGGGACCCCACAACGCACTGCAGACCCGGCTCTGGCCGAGCTGGAGAGCTTCTCGGCTGAGATGATGAGCTTCAAGTCCATGGAGGACCTGGTGCAGGAATTCGACGAGAAGCTGACCGTCTGCTTCCGCAACTACGATGCTGCCACCGAGGGGCTGGCCCCTGTGCGGAGCCATCTCCAGGCACAGGAGGAGGAGGAGCGCCTCCAGGATGAGGAGTGAGTAAGGCCCCCTTACTTCTGGGGGTGCGGGCCTCGTTGCTCACCTGCAGAATCCTACCCTGTGCAAGCTGCCTCCCTGCATGGCAGCGTGGTAATGGGATGTGTCAAAACAGAGGTGTAGTAACCCATGAGTTGGCCCCTTCACAGCCTGCGTGCCTCCTTGCGACACTTCCCTGACCAGCTCTTGCATTGCAGCATGGTCATGAGCCATGAGTAAGGGCTCCTGTGGGGTCTGCATGCCACCTTGCACACTAGCAAGGTACATGCCACATGCAACTCAGCCCCCTGTATCGCAGTGTGGTCATGCAGCAGTATGGAATAGCTGTGTAATATTCTATGAGTACCTGTGTCGGATCCTATGAGTAGGCCACTCTCCTATGAGTAATGACCCTGTGAGGCTTATTGCACCCCATTTCATGCTTGCAAATCAGCCCCCTACACTATGGCGTGATGATGAGCTACCTTGAGAGTAGCTGTGTAGGATGCTTGGAGTTGCTATGTAGCATCCTATGAGGAGGTACAGTGGGATGTCCTGTGTCACATTGCAGGGGATTATGGAAGGCTCAGTCTATGTGAGGAGAACCCCTGGGGGTAGGGTGGGTGTAAACCTGGAGTAAGGTATGAGTAGGGCTGAGCCTCCTGTTTACAACATGCGATTTCCGCACCACGCCAGTGGGCAGCCATTTTGGGGCAAATTCCCCCCAGTATAGCAGCACTTGCATTAAACCCTAAATTTTTTGTTAAAAACCCACTTTTTTTGTTGCAAAATGTCATTTTTAGCCAAATTCAGGTGTTTTTTTTCAGCGATGTTCATATATTAACCTCTTTCTGGTGGATATTTTTGTGTTTAAGTGGCATTATTCCCCCAGGCTGCAATCCCTAACACTCATTTTTCACTATGCAAAATGCTTGTTTTCAACCCCCAAAACTCCCAAATGTCTTTATTTTCGTGGGTTTTTTATTCATCAAAACCTGCTGAAACCAAGTTGATTTTGGTACTTGACTGAATTGATGGTTTTTAGGGGAAAAATGCGTTTTGGCTCCATGCAGGGACTGCCGTGCTGTCGCCGGCTGCACCGCTTTGTGCTGCTCATTGTGTCTTTTTGGGTCACTTTGGGCAAAAACAGAGTGGGGTTTTTTTCTTTCCTTCTTGAATGAGCCCTATGTACGCAGCGGGGGATGGGCTGAAGCCTTAAAGGCGTTTTATTTCCCTCATTATTAACCATTTCTTGCCATATTTAGCCCAGAAAGCTGCTTGGTGACCCTATGGGGTACTGGCCCTTTAAGAGTAGGGGGTTGGGGGGTGTGGGGGGAAGCAAATTTGGGGGAGAATCATTTATTTTTTTCCTTATTTGCTGCAGGTTTGTGGAAAATGGGAATATGGGGGGTTTAGTGTTAATTTGGGAAATATGGGATTTCGGGGGGATTAAGAGCAGGTGAGGAGGGAAATAAGAGAAATACCCCAAAATGAGCAGTTTGGGGGCTCGGAGGGGGCAGGTGGGTTTGGGGGGATTTAGAGGGAATCAGGGTGCACAGGGATGTGGTGCCGGGTTGAACTGAAAACGCCATTTGTGGGGGGAAAATGGGTGCATTTCCTGTAACAGGGAGACATTTTCTCATCGCTTTTTGATCCTTTTCCCCCATTTTTTGGCCTTTTCTCCCCTTTCCCCCGCTTTCCTTACATTTTTTCCCCTTTTCCCCTCTTTTGGCTCTTTTCTCTCTTTCCCCATTCCCTATTTTCCCTTTTTTCCCCCTTCTCCCCTTTTTCTCTTCTCTCCCATTTCCCCCCTTTTTTCTTCTTTCCCCCCTTTCTCATTTTTTCTCCCATTTCTCTTTTATCCCATTTTCCCTTCTCCCACTTTCCCCCCTATTGTAGGGCAGCATTCTGGGGAGCTTTGAGGCATTTGGGGAGCCACAAAAGCATTTTGGGACACTGAACAATTTGGGGGGATGTTCTGGAGCATCTCAGCAGCTTTTTGGGGGGTTTCTTTGGTGTATCAGGGCAGCTTTATGAGGCATCTTAGGGTGTTTGTAGGCAATGTGTCAGGACAGCATTTTGGGGGCTTTCCCAGTGGTATTTTGGGGTGGTTTGGAGCATTTCAGGATGGCATCCTGGTGCGTTCTGCTTTTGGAGGGTATTTTTGGGTATTCCATGATGGCATTTGAGGGCATTCTGAGCTTTGGGATCTTTATGGCATTTTGGGGTGTTTCAGAAGAATATTTTGGGGTGTTTCCGAGCAGTGTTTTGAGGGGGTTTGGGGCCTTCCAGAGGGTCTTGGAGCTTTGAGGCAGTTTTTTAGGATGGCATTTTGGGTATTTCTGGGTCTACTGGAGCATTTCCAGCTGTTCTGGAGCATTTCAGGGCATCTTGGTGATGTATTGGGGTGGAATTGGGGGCATTTAAGGCATTTTGGGGCATCTGGAGACATTTTGGGATATAAGAGTGGCCTTTTGGGGTGGTATTTTGATGGCAATGTTTCAATATTATCAAGTGCTGGGGCAGCATTTCAGGGTACTTTGGGGTATTTCAGGGCATGATATTTTGAGGAGCTTTTGGGTCTTCTAGGGCAGTATTTGGGATGTTTGGGGCATCTCGGTGGGATTTGGGGCTCTTGGAGCACAGGGGAAGCATTTCAGAGTGTTTCCAGGGGTGCATCTTGTGGTGTTTTGAGGCATTTTGGCAGCATTTTGGGATCGCTGCTCACCTCCCGCCTCCCTGCAGGGTCTGGGATGCTCTCACCGATGGTTTCGCCCCCCGGAGCTCCCCCCGGCCCTGGCTGCTCTCCGGGGCTGAGGCCTCCGATGGCACCGACCACCAGGTACTGCTCTGCATCCCCCCTTGGCTCCCCAGACCCCCCTGTCCCCACATGACCCCTTGTCAAGCATGCCCTGGTGATGCTTGACGGCTGTCAATCAGCCCCAGGGCTCTGCGCACTACCCAGAAATGGTATTTTTGGGGTGCTGCAGCAGCAGTGCAGTGAATGTCCACGTTTTAGGGTGAAATCACACTGAAATAGGCAATATTACAGGTTTGGTTTGGCAATCTCGTCTCAGGGGTGAGATAGTGTATTTTTTTGGCTAGAAAATAGTATTGTCTTTGCTGCAGCGAGTTTGGGCTGTGAATAGCTGTGTTTGTGGGTGTGGGAGGGCTGCAGCGGTGCCCCAAAATCCACTGAATTTAACCCATTTGGATGGTACAGAACCTGTTGCTAAAGGAGGGGGAGAGAAGGTGAATATCTGGGGTTATATTTTTGCCAAAAAGGTGAAGTAGACTGTGAAAGGTGGTAAAAAAGAAGATGCCTCCCTGTCCAACATCTGCATCCAACATCTTCATCCATTACCTCCCCATCAGGCATTCCCCTCTGACATCTCCCCATCTAATATCCCCATCCAGTATCTCCCATCTGACCGCTTCCCCCTTCAGCTTCACCATCCAACGTCTCCAGCATTTCTCTCCAGTGTCTCCAACACCTCCCCATCCAGTGTCACTGTGCAATATATTAATGAAAACATCTCTCCATCCAACATCGTCATCCAGCATCTCTATCTACCATACTTGTACTTCTCCCTGTCCAGCTTCCAAGTCCAACAACTCTCCATCCAGTGGCTTCCCATCCAGCATCTCCATCCATCTCCTCACAATGCCTACCCATCCAATACTTCCTTGCTTGTCTCTCTTCTCCAGCGTCTCCATCCAGCATCCTCATCCAATGCCTCTGTCCAGCATTTCCCCACCCAACATCTCCACCCAATGCCTTCACCCAGCATCTCCCTATACATCATCCCCATCTGATGTCTCCATCCAACACCTCATCCAACATCTTCGCCGCCGTCCCCCTCATCTGATGTCTCCACCCAGTGTCTCCCCCATGCAGCATGTCCCCCTGAGATGTGGTTCGCTGGTGGCTCTCCCTGTGCCAGGGCCAGGGCCATGTCTGTGTCCATGCTGGGGCCATGCCTGTGCCGGGCCGGGCCTGCGGTGCCACCAGGACCTCCCAGCCTGTGTCTCCTGCAGCTCTGCGAGAAGGAGGAGGAGGAGGAGGAGCTCACTGAGAGGAGTGAGCAGGACTCGGGCATCAACGAGGAGCCGCTGCTGACAGCTGAGCAGGTACCCCTGGTTCCCATGGGTGTCTCCCAAAAGCCAGGCTTGAGCCCCCAGCCCATCCCAGCCCCATGGCAATGCAAAAAAAAAGGCCAAATCCAATTATTTCGGGATGCAGAGCATGGAATGCAGGTTTGAATGTAGCTAGAGGTGCAGGCTGTGGGTGCTGATGTGGGATTTAGGTGCAGATGGGAACATGGGGTGGGGGTGCAAATGGGTGGCATGGGATGAAGTACAAAAATGGGGTGCAGAGGTCAGATGCAGCTACAGGATGCTGGTGCAGAGGCAGGGTGTGGATGTCTGATGCATGGTGTAGGTACCAAATGCAGGTGGAGGAAGCAGTTTGGAGGGACCAGGATGCAGATGCAGGTATGGGATGCAGTTAGATGTAGGTGGAGGGCCAGGGTGTGAGTGCATGTGGGAGGCTGTAGATGAGGGATGCGGCTGGGAATGTGGGATGCAGATGAGGATGCAAATGGAGGGTGGAGGGTGCAGGGTACAGAGGAATGCAAATGCAGGTGCAGATGAGGGATGCAGATGGAGGATACAGATGGAGATTGAGGGATGCTGATAAAGATGGAGGATGCAGGTGCTGGATGAAGGGAGCAGGTTGGAGATGTGGGTGCAGGACACAGATGCAGGATGTCGCTGTGGGCTGCAAGGTGTAGGTGCAGGATGGAGGTAGAATGAAGGTGCAAATGGAGGACACTGATGCTCTGAAGGTCATCGAGGAGCTGGAGGAGCTGATGCAGAGTTCACCTGACCCCGAGGCTGATCCTGAGGGGGAGGAGGAAGAGGAGGACGAGGAAGAGGAAGAGGAAACTGAGGCTGATGCTAAAGGCAAAGGCAGTGGTGGGAGCACGGAGCCTATCGTTCTGCGGGAGCTGCATGCTTTCTCCCCTGCCTTCAACAACAACTGCTCTCACGAAGGTAAGGCCAGCAAAACCCTGGCCAGTCACTTTCTGGGGTTAATTTCCACCAAATTGGACAACTGAGTCTCTCCAGGCTTCAGGGCTGGCTCGCTCCAGTGCTCACACACTGTTTGGCCAGGAGGGGGCTGTTGGCAAAAGATGAAGCACTGACTGCACTGGTGCCTCACCAGTGGCATTGGTCACTCTGTGCATCTTGATAACAGGTCTAATTGCACCATGCTCATCACTGTAGGGATGTCACTGATATTTGCTTCAGTAATAGTTGTGGCTGCCCCATCCCTGGCAGTGCTCAAGGCCAGGTTGGACACAGGGGCTTGGAGCAAGCTGCTCTAGTGGAAGGTGTCCCTGCCTGTGGCAGGGGTTGGGACTGGATGAGCTTTGAAGGTCTTTTCCATCCCAAACCATTCCATGATTCCATGGTTTATTGCACTGTGCATTGCAGTTGCACCCCCAAGTGTTTCACCAATTGCGCCGGGCACCCCATTAAACCTCCCTGTTGGCAGTGCTGGGCCGGCTGTCGGCGCGGGAGCTGGTGGCGGCGGCGGGGCGGGCAGAGGCAGCGAGCCGGGCGCTGTCCGCAGAGCTGGTGGCCCAGTTGGCTCGTCGGGATGAGCTGGCCTTCGAGAAGGAGGTGAAGACGGCGTTCATCGGGGCGCTGCTGGCCGTGCAGGGGGAGCAGCGGGAGCAGCGCGAGGCCGCCCGGCGCCGTCGGCGCGACAGGGGCCTGAGCCTGCAGGGAGGGCGTCCCGAGCGTGGGAACAACATGCCCCGGAAGGTGGGGATGCTGCGGCCATGGGGATGGGGGAATTTGGGATGGAGGGAGGGAGACATGGGGATGTGGGCACAGGGATGGGGCAGGGCGACATGGGGTTGAGGGGTTGAAGGATGAAGGGGTGTGGGATGAAAGGATGCAGGGATGGGATGGTGGGACATGGGACAGGGAATGGGTGATGGGATAGGGCAAGGGATATGGGAGAGGGAGACATGAGGCAGGGAATGAGGGATGGAGGGATGTAACAGGGACATAGGATGGAGTGATGTAGAGACGGGGATGAGGCAAAGGGACATGGGCTTGGACGGATGGGGAAGAGGAGGACATGGGGACAGAAGGAGATGGGGACAGGGAATGGGGGCTGCAGGTGGGAGTCAGGAGCTGGGAGGAAGCTGATGTGAAAGGAGGTGCAATGAGTAATGACCGCATTCCTGGGAGGTGATGGGGTGACATGTGTGTCCCCAGCGCTTCAGCATGGAGGGCATCTCCAGCATCCTGCACTCCGGCCTGCGCCAGACCTTTGGCCCCACCGCCAATGAGAAACAGGTGCCCTTTCCTCCCAAAAAATTGCCCACATCTGCCCCCTTCCATACATACCCCCATTCCCTGCATCACCTCAAAAGAAATCCTCCCAGAGCAGGAGTCTGCATGAAATCCATTCAGTACTCCCCAGAATTCCTGCCCATCAAACACAGTCACAGGACAATTGCAGCACAGTCTGCTTGAGCACCAGTTTTGGGCCATTTGTCCCAAGGCGGTGTGAAAACCAGGCAGTTTTGTGCCACCTGGTTCTTTTTGGTGTGTTTGGGTGTTGTCTTTCCAGTACCTGAACACAGTGATTCCCTATGAGAAGAAGGGGTCTCCACCCTCTGTCGAGGACCTGCAGATGCTCACTAACAGTGAGTATTTTTCCAAGCTTCTGTTTTGGGACAGAATTGGTGCTAGAGCACATCCCATATGGAGACAGGCTGAGAAAGTTGGGGCTGTTCAGCCTGGACAAGAGAAGGCTCCAGGGAGACCTTAGAGCAGCTTCCAGTGCCTAAAGGAGCTACAAGGATGCTGGATAGGGACTCTTCGTCAGGGACGGTAGTGGTAGGACAAATGGAAGGTGTCCCTGTCCATGGCAGGGGGTTGGAACTGGATGAGCTTTTAGGTCCGTTCCAGCCCAAACCAGTCTGGGATTCTATGATTTTGCATCAGCACAGCATGGTGGATTTGGGACACACCATTCTGCATCACTGCAGTGGCTGCGATACGGGTGCATCATTGCAGTGCAGCAGTGAAACTCTGCAGGTGTCCCTATGGTGACTTTGGGGCTGGTTTGAGGGAGAAAATGGAGGTTTGGGGGCAGTGGGGATGGGCTCACAGCTCTGTTCCTGCTCACAGTCCTGTTTGCCATGAAGGAAGGGAATGAGAAGGTGCCCACACTGCTCACGGATTACATCCTCAAAGGTATCTGCTCACCTCCTCCATCTCCTGTGCACTCCCCCTGCAGCCTTCATGCAGCTCCTGTGCAGCCTCTGTGTCTGTGCATCTCTCGTTGCAGTGCTGTGCCCAACCTGATGCCGCGCTGCCCTTGAGCCCCCCCCAACCCCGACACCCCCTGAAAATGGGGCTAAACCCGAGGAAAATGGGTCACCCGCGGCCCCCATCCCCACCCCTCCCCCCCGCACTGCCCCCACCTTTGCACAACTGGGAAATAAATAATTCGTTTCATTAATTAAGCATCCGGCCTCCGGTGTCTCCATCCCCCGGCTCGGGACATAGTTCTACTGCTTTTTGATGGGAAAAAGGCCCTTTTTGGGGGTGGAAAAGACCAACGAGGGCTTTGCTGCAGTGCTCATGAATATTCAGGAAATTATAAGATATGCAAATTTCTGGCTAATGAGATGCTGGGGGCTCAGAGCCGGCAGCGACAGTGATCTGAGGGGCAAAATTCTCCTCAAAATCCCATGTTGAGGGGATTTTTTTTACCCATTTTTAACTTTCAGCCCTAAATTGTACCAAAATTGCCGGTTTTATTCCCAGAAAAATCAACCGGTTAATTAGCAGTGGCTCCTTAAGGAATGAGGGGGCTTCCATGGGGGGGGAATAATTGCTCAGTCTGGGGACTTGTCACTCATTTGGGGAGCTTTGCTCATTTTTGGAGAGCGTAATCCATTTTGGGGACACATTCAGGCATTGGGGGGAAATCATTTACTTTGGGAGACTGTTGCTCATTTGGGATGATAATTGCTCATTGGGGGGAAACATTTATGGGAGCATGGTGCTTTCATGAAGATCAATCATTTGGGGGGCACTACTTGAAAAAAAACAATTTTGGAGGAATATAGTTAATTTGGGGAAAATAGTACTTTTCAGGGGGGAAACACTGAATTTTCGGGGCCATCCCTCATTTTTAGGGACAATAATAGGTTTCGGGGCAGCACTGCCTGTTTTGGGGAGGGTCACTCCTTTTGGGGGAGCAAAAGTCATTTTGGGGGAGAATCCCACCTTTTTGGAAAAGATATTTCAGTGTGAGCATCACTCATTTTGGGGATGGATTGCCTGGTTTGGGTACCATCATTTCTTTTTGGGGAGCATCACTCATTTTTGGGAAGCGTAACATTCTGAAATAAGCATCACTCATTTGGGGGGAGAATGTCTAATTTTTGGACAAAAAAAAATTCATTTTGGGATCAGCATCACCCATTTTAGGGTCAGAATTACTCATTTTGAGATAAGCATCATTCATTTAGGGGGAGAAGCCCTCCTTTTTGAACGATAATATTCATTTTGGGGTAAACATTGCTCATTTTGGGGCTGTTTCACTTATTTGAGGGGACTTTTGAGGATTTTCGAGTCACAGGAGGAGGCTGCCAACAAAATACAGCTGCAAAACCTCATCTCGTAGCACTTTATAATAAATGGCCATGAATTAATACTAAATTACAATGAATCCTTTATGAAATTACAGAAACCCAAAATACATTGATTTTTTTTTTTTGCCGAGCCACCCTCTCCTGTGGCTTGTTTGGGCTAAAACTCCACCGTTTTCCCACATGGGTGGACAATGTCAGGGAGAAACCATCTTTCAGCAACATTATTGAGTTTCCTTCCATCTTGGTGACTCTTGGGGGTCACCATTCAATTCTGGGTGAAAATCTGTGTGTTTTAAACCCATTTTTTCCTGCCTCGGTGCCAGTGGGAAAGTCTCATTCCCGGCAGCCTTTGCCCCAACTCTGCATCCAGTCTCAGCCCTTCAGGATGAGAATGGGGTGGTTCTTCTCCAGATTCAATGGGTGTTTTAGCACATAAATAAAAGGATTTGGGGGAATATCCTCCCTTTTCCAGAAAGTTGTGTCCAGAGTCACCAAACGGCCACAGCACTTGGGATAAAACAGGGAGATCTGGGCAATCTGGTGGGTCAAGAGCACCAAAACCCTCCTCAGATCCAACCTGAAGCAGAACTTGCACTCGCTGTTTCTTTCTCCCCATGTGCTGATACTTACGCCTGTGAATCCTCTTTTTGGGGGAAAATCCCAAAAAGCATCAGTCCTGGGGTTGTTTATGGGGATTTGGGGTTTTTTGCACCAAGGAATCCAAGTGATGGACGCAGTGGCCCATGGTGAAAGCCCACTGTCGCCCAACAGCATTGGAGCATCGCGTGGGGAAAACAGCATCCCCTAAAAATGCGTTTTCTTACCAAAACTGAAGGGGGAAAGGGAAAAATAAGAAAAAAGCCTGAAAAAGAAAAATAAATCCGGCCACAATATGTGCCTTGTAAACATGTGTCCTTCACATCCACACGCTGACGTGCTGGTCCCTGTGCTCCTGTGGGCAGCCAGGGCAGCCACCAGTGCCTCCAATTTGCTTTTTTCTCACCAATTTCGTTTTTGTTCTTGCCAGGGGTTGGGGTTTTTTTTGGCATTTCTGGGGGAATTTTGTTTCTGGTGCTGTCAATGATTTGGGGATGGTGCCGGAGGAGCTATTCCAAGGAGTCACTGTGGTCCAAGCCGAGGTCAGCGCCGGGTGCTGCCGGGAGGCCACCAGGCTCTTCTTCCAGCTCTTCCTCTTCTTCTTCCTCTTCCTCCATCTCGTCCTCATCCTCCTCATCCTCCTCTTCTTCCTCGGTGCCATCAAGGGAGTCGTCATGGGCTGCCAGCATGGCCTGCTGCATGGCCATGGTGGCTGTTGCTGATGAGAGGGGTTGCAGGTTGTCCATGCTGAGCGAGCCTGAAATCACATAAATACACAGAAATAAGGACTCTCCAAGTAATATGAAAGTGACAACAAAGTGCAAGAACCAAGAACAAGCCAAGCTGAAAGCTGTATCTAGACAGAACACCCTGTAGGGTGTCCCACATGTCCCAGTCACTGCCCAAGGTCCAACCCTCAATGTTTTTAATGTCTCTTCATTAAATAACAAGAAATGATCATTTTTGAGCAAGTAGATGCCCAAATTGGTTGGGCAGATCTCTGTCTTCTCTCAGTTTCCACCATCCCTTCTCTTCATCTTCTCTGTTCTCATCTTGTCTGGTCCATGCTCATTCACCCTCTCTTCATTTTCTCTACTCCATCTTCATAATCTGTTCTCTGTTTATCTTTTCTCCTCCCTTCTTGTCTCGTCTGTCTTCTCATTGCCATCTTCTCTGCTCTTCATCTTCATCACCTGTTCTTCATCTTTCCTCCATCTTCTGTCTTCCTATCTTGTCTTATCTGTCTTATCTCCATCTTCTCTACTCTTCAGTTTCATTATCTGTTCTCTGTTCACCTTCCTCCTTTCACCTTCTTCCTTCCTATCTTGTCTCATCTGTTTTCTCATCACCATCTTATAACCCTTTTTTCCACTTTGTGTCCTCTCCCCATCTTCCCCATTACCTCCTCCCCTCAGGGGGTATCCCAAGTGATGCCCCACAGGGTTAGATCATTAAGGAGTGTTCCTATGCTGAGGAGATGGCAGTTCCCCATTTCTAGTGCCCTCCTGACAGCCAGCTGGAAGGATCTTCTTACATTCACCACTTCATCAACATATTTTTCCCCACAGGGGATAAAAACAGCTCCAGAAATCCTTAATTCCCAATTAAGACCATAATTGAATGCATGGCCACCCCATCCAGGAAGAGCAGCGGCCATCAGGGCTTGTCCTTACCATCAGGATTTGTCCCCGCATTGCCACTCTGCTGCTGCAGGACCCCAGCAGCGATGGAGTTGGGCCAGAACCGCTGGGTGGGCCGATGCTGAGATTTGATTTTCTTTGCTTTGGGGGCAGGGTCTGGGTTGCTGGCGTCGAGCATTGGCTGCAGGATGCGTCGCCGGGCGTTGATGAACCTTTCCAGGGAAAAGAGACCATTGGAGTAATGTTACACCAACTCTGAGTTAAAACAACAGACCTTATAACAATCAATGAATCACAGTATAAAACCAAACAGCCGGGGGGTTACCCTATTTTATCTGTCTGTGCTATGTTTTATGATGAGTGGTGGGACACCGGCACAGGGTGCCCAGAGAAGCTGTGGCTGCCCCATCCCTGGCAGTGCTCAAGGCCAGGCTGGACACAGGGGCTTGGAGCAAGCTGCTCTAGTGGAAGGTGTCCCTGCCCGTGGCCGGGGGTTGGAGCTGATGAGCTTTAAGGTCCCTTCCAACACAAACCATTGATGTTACACCATTGCATTAATTTCTCCAGCTGAGTTGAAGGCTGCTACACATGGGGTTTGCCAGCAGAGGGCACTAAAACATCGCAAATGAAACGCTGCCAATTAAACACACCCCAGCCCAACTAGAAATGGTCCCTGATTACCCAAGTTACCCCCAGAAAATCACTATCTATAGCACCAAAACAGCAGGAAAAACATTTCTAAAGCCAGCAAGATGACTGCATGGGTCACTGATGCACTCACCAGTTGTTGACTTGCAAGAGGGTCAGGTTGGTTTGGGCAGCAATTTGCCTCTTCTCGTCCTCTGTAGGGTAGGGGTGCTAGGAAAAAAAGAGAGATGGGCAGCAAAGTGACATCTCTGTATGCAAACCAGCAACCTTGAGCGGGCCCAACACAGCGATGTTCTTGTCCTGAATGCAATAAATCCAACATTCCCCATTAAAAAAACCCAGGCTGGAAAGTCCATTCCAGTTGCTGCTCTATGATTTCCTGGGCCATGTTGTTCCCCAAGTTGCTTGGAGTTGTTATTTTCTGTGTTGCTGCCTACCTTGGGAGTCTCCCACCTTCCTGAAGACCATCACAAATCTCTTTGCAATCAGATTCTGAGTGGATTTTGGCCAAATTATGCAGGAAAAAGGGTTAGGGTTAAGCTTTTCACCCTTCTTCCAGCCCTGCTGATGGGACAGCAGTGTCCTTGTATGGAAATATCCCGGCTGCATCCTCTGAGTTCCTTCCATCTACCTACATTTGCATCCCCCCAAAATGGGATGGGTTTGCAATTCTGCATGTCAGGTGACTGCAGATCACAACTCTACCTGTGGGACAGCTTTCACACTCCAGCTTGCTAGAAAAGGGTATCTGGGAGATGTTAACTGTAGAACAAGTCATGGAAAGCCCCTTTTGGTTGCTTATTCTTGCATTAAGGGCATATTGTTACCACCTGCAGTGAAAAACAGCACGCTCCAAATACTCCCAAAATAAAAGCAAAGCCACTTAGTGCCTCCAAATACAAACTCACCCCCCTTGATTTGCTCATTTGGGGGTTTTCCACCTTTTTATTTTCCCCAGCTTGCACAGAGATTTGGTAG